TGATTGTGAATATATTTTTTAGTCAGGCATGGAGTAGTATCAAAATCTGGATATCAATATCCTAAACTGATATGAATTTCTTTATTCATAAAATCTTTCAATAGAGGAGTCACTGAGTGGCTTATACTATTTCTTCTGCAGATGAAGAAGGAAAAAGACAGGGAGGAAAGAGAGAGAAGGAAAGGGAAGCAAAGACGGGAGAAAGATGGAGGGCGTGAAAGAGGGAAAGATGAGGCACACAAGAAGGATAAAGCAGACAGTGACAGTATGGAGTTATCTGAAATCCAATCATCCAAAGAAAACAAAAGGTCTGAAGATGATAGTAGAAAACAAAGGAAGCAGCGTCATAGTCCCGAGCACGAAATGGATAAAGAGAAGACTAAGAAATCTCACGGTCATGGTAGTGACCGAAAGAAGTCAAAGCGCGTATGTAGATTTACGACTTCTCTGTCTTAAAGATATTAATAATTTCTATAATTTAATGTTAACTGATTGTCTTCTGCCTTTTGGTTGCATTTTTTCCTTTGGTGGAGCAGCGTGCATCTGGCCATGAATCAGATGAAGGACGCCACAAAAAACACAAGAGAGACCACCGCAGAGAAGGTGATCATGGAGATCTTGAAGATGGGGAATTTGGAGATGGTGTGGATAGATGGTAGCCATATTATTCTTTTCAATCTCCTGTGATTACCTCTTGTTTAGCTCAATATGTATTATTTTTCCAAAAAAAGGTTCAAAAACAAATTTTCAAGAGAACTTACTAGTGTTCTAATGTTCTGCACTGTAGATTTTGCTACAAGAATGAAAGGTTAAGTTCTCACGTGAGGATCCCAATTGTTGCAACTTGCTTTGATTGATAAATGAAACATTCTCATGTCCAGTTTTCACAAAATCATATTCAAATTTTGTGTATCACAAAAATCACTAATTGAATAATCTTTTTGGCACTTGTGTGATTTCATTTTGGTCCATATCTGAGTTAGCTTCAATTAGGAGGGTTATTGGCACTTGTGTGATTTCATTTTGGTCCATATGTAATAATATCATTGTAGTTTAACGCTGAATCTTAGACAAATGTTTTGAGTGCAGACTGGAACGAATCGGGCTTGGTTATGTTGCGATGGTGTTATGTCACTGATTTCCTGTAACAATTATTGTTTCTCTTTCCTAGGCTGAACCTGATTCATAACCACAAATAGGTGTGTCCAAAACTCATTATGGACCTACATTCACAAAAAATTTATGACATGGCCTAAGATTTCTACGAGGTTTTGTGCTAATGGTTTGCAGCTGATTCTACATTTAAACCATTATCATTTACAGTTGATCTGCATTCTGGCCTGTGATCAGAAGTCGGCACATAGGGAAATGCTTAGCACCGCGAGCTATTGGAAATTCCGAAATTGCCATAATCGAGAAATCATTCTCTTAATCAGGTAACCAAGCACCGCTTATTTGACTTGCGTTGTTTTATCTATCATTAGTGAAGTTGACACTAGGCACTACCCTTTCATTTATGCTGTTTTTCCCTACTATAATTATTACTGAATTAACTTTTCGAGATAAAGTTTATTTGGTAAAGGAATTTACTGTAACTTCTTTGGCACGAAAATATAGATTATAGAGAGTGCGATAAACGTATTGTATCAGATTATGGTTCAAAGTGCCTTTTTCGCCGTTAGTACCGAAGAATTCTTCCACAAATAGCTTCTAGCCTACCATTTTTTAATGACCAAGGCACAGTATGAAGAATGAAGTTAGTATTTCAAACAGAAAAAATGGTAATGAATAATAAAGATTTCCAAGTATTTTCGCTCTTGGTAGGGCCACACAACAGCTGCGCTATTCCTTTCTGCGCCTTTTTTTGATTCCTTTCTTCCCACCCTTCCATCCGTTTCTCTTTTTCATCTTTCCCCCCTTTTTTCAATAACTTTGCTGGTAAGAACTTATTCCCTCAAGTCATTTTTTGGCGTCTATCATGACAAACATATTCGAAATAAAATGAGTGTGAAGTTACAATTAAGGTCCTATCTTCAATTCTTTAAATAAACGTCATTCCAATCAATTTCTCCCCTTTCCCCCCCTGATTTGAATACGATCTCATCATGACAACTAAACCAGAACTTAACAATTTGGTGTCATAGGCACAAGCACTGAGGTGCTTCACCCAGATTGAAAGAGTTCGGAAACAGTCACAACTTGGTTCATTTCTATCTTTTTCTCTTGCATGTTGAAATTTTAAGTTCACAACAACATTAATCACTAACTAGTCACATACACCAAGTCAAAAGTGGAATATATGCATTACTTGCCTCTTATGTGTGGACAAGCGAAACCAGCTCATTAATGTGGAAGACTTGCGCAGCACAATTCTGAATCTATCCCTTTATGCACTTAATAATCCGGTCCCCCCATCTCCGCTCTTTAGTACCATCAAGCCTTTAATAAAAGAGAAATGGAGAAGTTTTGGGCTATTGCAGAATTTTCTGAGTTTTAGCATTGGACGCCACTGGATTGTGACTTGTGGGTTCTGACATTGTAGACCACCTCAGTTGCTTAATCTATGTGAAAATCTGTCTCAGATGTCCAATTATATTTATATTTGGTACAGGTTCACTTAAAAGCTTGGTTGGTTCAAGTTCAAAGCTGGTAATGTTAACATCCTACACCGAACTATCATAACTTGGTATATGAGCAAAATACCATTTATTACGTATGACTTTTCCAATCCTCTTGTGCAATGAGTTAGGTTTATTCTCAATTCTAGTAAGGTCTAAGAATGGCCTAATCGCTAGTGTCCAAACCTTAACTACATGGGAAAGTACATGAACCTAACTTTTGAGTTTGAGATAAAGTTAGAACGAGTTCTTTCTTAATTCTAATAAAAATTGGTTTAAATATAGACATTATACCGGCATCGAAAGGCAAAGGGATGGAACTTATTATTACAGAAAGAGGAAAAACAGAGCTTATATAAAACTCTGTATAACAGATTTATCAATCTGGAATTCATAAATTTCAGGTTTGTAAAAGTCACTACGATACATGCATCTGTTGCAAAGGTAAACACACGCCAACAACATTCATAAATACAAAAATGACAATCCTGTTAAGAAGAAACTCGTGAATATGGAAAGGTAGATGCTGAGCTAGATCATCTCTAGAAATGCAAAAGCTGAATAATAAATGAAAAGCTTCTTCCATTTTCAAATTTCATGCTTTTGATTCTAACTTTTCTTTTGGTACTTTTACGTCATCCAGTAGTGCCACTGGGTGCACTCTAATTGCTTGTAGCTGCTAATGTTCCCCATTAGACATGCCAAATATTATTTCATGTGCAACTTTAAAAATCACTGTAATCAATTTTGCATTACATGTGGATGCACATCATGATTGTTTTGTCACGAATTGGTTTATCATGTTGATGTCACGGCCATTGATATTTTAAAGCTTTATATTGGAAGAAAAAAAAAGGATTAAGTAAAAACATGAAGCTATGCATAACACGCATGAGAAAAAAGTCCATCATCTCAATTACTGGGACCATTTCACCAATCACTATAGATGCCTTATTTTTGCAGTCGGTCCTACTTGTGTCTGGAAAGAGTAAAGTTTCAAAATTTATTTTTTTAAATATAAACGTCGCCCATTAACTAAAAAGCCAAATAATTATAAAAAGTTATTAATATTTTAATCAACTTTTTCTGGAAGGAAATTTGGAAGAGAAATAATGTCGATCTAATTTATAGAGGAACGTATTTTTCTCTATATTGAAATGTCATTTTGACAAATTCTTAACAACTTAAATTCCAAGGGCCACCAAATGCTTTGGTTCACATTGAAAGTCATTTTTCTTGAATATTACAATGGTTGAACAAAGAAAAATCCAATACTAGTTATTATCTTTTAACTTTCTTAAAAGTGGTTGTCATTAAGATGGTGAGTAAAATATATTTCCTGCTATCAAATGAATTTTATACAGATAATTATACCACAATTTAAATAAAATTTGAAATAAATCTATAAGGACTTTCTTTATAAAACAAAATTGCTTTAAAAGCTTATTCTCTAGTGCTGATATTGAAACGAATCATAGCATAGCAACGTCATATTTTATGCTTGAATATACATTTGCACTTTCGAGTGAAAATAACCATACATGATGTTGGAAATTCTTTTTTCTACCAATTTAAATACTCCAAGGCCGGCATACGTTCAATTGTTGCCGCTGATTATTTGCATTATGTTTTTTCAAATATTTTGAAGTACAAAGTCTTGTTAATCTGATATAATTTTTCAATTATATGTTATAATACATAAACAACACTACAACAATGTGTTCAATATATTATTTTATGCATTTATTTAACATCTTAAGTTATATGGTACTATTAAAGATGAAAGTAACATCTGTTACGAAAAACTATCTTCAATATCACATATATAGTAGTGTTCTCCCATAAATTTCACCTTATTTTATGTTAATTTTCAGTCAATATTTATTTTTAAAAAATCCGCCACCATTCCTTGTCAGGCTTCGTGCAATTTGTCAAAACCACACGTTCATAACCTCTGTCAAATCTCATTATATATATTTATAAGAAAACTTAAAATCTTAGTTTTTGATGACATACCATGATCACTAGATGTCCAACTCTAATCAACTATCCGTCTCAGACACACCTTCCACACTGATCTTGAATGGTCGTAGCATAAACATTATTCATCTTTCAAAAGTCAAAAGAGATTCTTTCGTGAAAGAACATTCTAAAAGTATTTTAAATGCAAAAAATAGTGAGAACAGTCCCCACCACAATAAGGTAGTGATTTTGTAACAGTTTCTTACGCATTAAATTTTAGTAAGAATTTTATACATCTTTCATATTCTCTTTATAAAAGTTCTGCATAGTTAGTTATATGTACACACGCGAACACGGGACTCTACTGTTAACAATCCAAAGAGTAAAGTTCCATTACTGCCCCTACACCTACCATCTATATAAATTCATCATAGAGTCATATTCTAGGAGCATGATCAACATATATAAGATACACACAGTAATTGCTAGTTGGTAGGTTTTCTTAGAAAGCAGAGAATGAAAATGTCGTCTAAGGTCATTAGTGCCACCATTTGCCTTGCAGTGTTATTCCTCTTCTTAACCTCCACATATGCTGGAAGACTTGGCCCTGCTTCTTCCTCTTTCACTTCAACCAAAACTCAACATGTGGTGAGTTAATTTTCTTAGTTCATATCATATGAACAGTTACATACATCATACGTGTTATTCAGTTGTTAATAATCTTCTTCTCGTATGTGCTTTAAGGCTTTGGAAGAGGAGAAGTTAGACGTGGAGGAAAGTTGTGATGGTATTTCAGAAGAAGATTGCTTGATGAGAAGAACACTCGTGGCTCACACGGATTATATCTACACACAGAACCACAAACCATGAGATTCATACCTGTTTCTCATATCAGATGCAAGCTATATATAACTCCCTCGCTTATCATTGTAATTATGCATAAGCAATACTTTTCACATACATACATATATATAATCCACTTTTGAAACACTTAGTTTTCTTTTCCTGCAGCTGCTGATAGGAGTTTCTTATAATCTGTATTAAAAGAAGTATTCCTTTTTGTTTCATATTGTAAACCGATGCATATATGTGGATGTCGATTTTGATTGATATAAATTTGGATATTACCCTTATTTTTATTCATCCATAATTTTTTTGAAACTGGGTTCGGACATCCGAAAAGTATGTTTTTTTTTTGGAGGAGGTGGTGGTGGGTGCCTAGTGGCATGGTCGCAATTTGATTGGTCATATCAAAGACAATGGAAGCTTGCATGATGAAGCTCTGCATCAGCTGTAAAGTGTTCAACTTGTTTGGGAAATAACCAACACAATGGACCGAAAGGCACTTTGGTTCCCAAAGTGAATAATAACATGTGCATTAGGGATGGACAAAAGAGAAAAGCTTCAAATCACAGATCCTTCACGATTATAGCTTTGACGTTTCTTTGCTTATAATCAATGTTTATAATATATATATATATATATATATATCACTGTTAAAGGATAATGAAACTTGTTTGGGACAAAAGATACGATGCCACTGCCACCCAAAATATTCTTGCTTTAGTTGAACCATGTTGGCTAAATGACTACGTCGTGATTATTATTCTGATAAGATTCATGAAGTTCCTCGCGAAGGATCGAACAAAAATCAAATACTTCAAAATTAATTTATCTTAAACATTGTGAAAAAGCTGTCTCAGCCATACTCGTCTCTACCCGACGCTCATTTTTTATTGCTATTTGCATACCCTGTTTCGTGTGGTAAATAAATAAATAAAATTTTGTAAAGCTAAACCCTTTAAGTCTGGTTTGATTGGCTCACGGTATTGGTTGGCTGGCACCGCAACAATAATTTGTTGTGGATTATGAATTTAATGATTTAGACAAACATTTAAGCCATAAATTGATTTCAATTTTTAAGTAGAAAAACTGTTAAAAACACAACACATAAATATGAAAAGGAACACACTTTCCTTTTGCTTCAAAGTCTACCAAATGAAACTCTTTGGTGGGTTGGGTAAATTAAGCCAGAGTAAAATATTTTACCTTCAAGATAGATTTTTTTTTTTTCCACTAATATCATTTCTAAGAAAAGAGAAGTTTCCACGAGTTTTCCTTGAGAAAAAATCTCCAAATTCAAACCCCATCTCCCCAATGTAAAAGGTCCATCTTTTCTACCACTGCCTTCATAACTAGCAGATTGGCAAAAATGGCATTCATAATCAGTCATCGTGATCACGCTAGCTATGCTTTAGCCTTTAGGTCATCAAGTGCTATCCTCTGTCAAGATATTCCTATTGCCAGGGTATTGATGCATTCACACACATTCAATTAATCATAACCATTCATTGAGATTAAATGTCTTATATAGTTTATTTTATAAATGTATGTCCAAAAATGTAAACCATATATATGTATATCCAATAGTTTAAACTCGTGCTTACGGGAATGTTTGAATGTACGGAATCCATTTCCAGTCTGACTTAACCTACTGTTAATATTATCACAAAAAAAAAAAAAGAATTACTAAAATTAATCTTTCACTCAGTTACTAGTTCTTAAAATAAAATTTACTGAATTCAATCTTCATAAAAAAAATTGATATTATCTTTAACTTAAAATTTTTAAAACAATATAGGTATTGTTGACAAGGTTTCGATTAGGAAGAGATTCCCAGTGGCCTTTAATCATATAAAACATATCATGTTCCAAACAACAACTAGCAGTGGACTTTGCAGCTACATGCCCACACACAGAGCACATCATTACAGAAAAATCCAAGAGGCAAAAATGTTTATCTTATCTGTCATCGTGTCCGTTCATTTTTTGTTTTAAAAACAGAGATATTATCTGTAGGATGGTAAATATATAGTATGGAGTGATTGTTTAACATATTTACCATGGAGTTTATCATCATAGGCCAGTTAGTGCATTGTTGACCAATGTAGATAAGTTGGCCTACAAGCATGATTTTGACATGCTATTGATGCTGTGTCCTTCGGCTGACTCCAAACCACTATCATCAAATTTAAAGAAATTTTATTCTGAGTGGATTAATAGGCTTAGAAATGTAGATCCATCACCTAACTATAGAAGCTTCTCCGTTGATTTATACTTCCATCTGGTCTACCACACTCTATTTCGAAAAAAAAGTTAGTTACAATTACTACAATCTTTGACTTCGACACCTAGGATTACCAGTGCTAATTATTCTCATCATTTTTATGTTTACCTTAAAAGGGAAGTCAAACTCTACAATAATCCATAAAGCCAGCGTAAATCAAACATTAACATTTTTCTCTTTCTTTAATTTCAACATCATTGTCACTTCTTACAAACCATAACTAGATTGCAAATTTATTATGTTTCAAGATTATAACGTTCAACGCTGAGGATTAATGAAATAGTAACCCAATCCCGTAAAAGTTCATACGTATCTTTATCTTTATTTTTATTTTTGTTTATGATATCTCTGTTTTATTCCTTTTCTCTCAATAATGGATATATTAATATTCATTTTTATACTCTTCTAAATTTTGATGAAATACTTTTTTATCACAAATACGAACGATAACAACTAATAAAAATAATATCAAAATGACATATTTTTTAATGTTATTATAATTTATATAAATTTTATGCTAGAAACAAGAAAGTATACAAATAGGTATATTTATTTTTGTTACTAAATTAAGGATTTACGTTATTGAATTCTCAGAAATAAAAGTAATATTTTTTATATGACAGAAAGTAAAAAAGATATAAATATAAAATTAATTTAATTTTATGAAATTGAATTTTGTATTCACATCAGTAGAGACATCGTAGCAAAAAAAGTTATTTAAACTATAAGAATAAAGGTTTTAAAGGTGGATCTAATGAATTTCAAATTATGAGCCAACTCAAATATAATAAATATGTTTAATACTATTTTCAATCTTAAAACTTTGTGGATTTCTTTTTATGTATTACTTAACTCACTCGTTTTTCTTCTAACCTCACCCTTCGATTCCTAATTAATACCTATCCAGTGAGAACGGATTATTACCCAATGCTAATTTATTTTTCATCACTACTTTCAATGAATAAGATCATAATTTACATTGTCTTCCATTCAAAAGCATGCACGGACTTTTTGTACCAGTTAAGAAAACCAAGCCTCAAACTGGATTTTTGCATATATTATTATAATTCAGCATTAATCTATTTGATTAATCAGATAAAACAAATATTGTGACTCTTCATGTTATATCCGTACTTAATGAAATGATGAAATAACTTTGCTGCTTTTACATAATACAAACAAGGTAGTCTCGTTTTTATTGGGTTATAATGTTAGAGAAGAATTTAGTTTATTAAATTTTTCATTATTTCAAACGTTAAATTGTTAGTACTCACATTGAAGAAGCAATTTGTTCATTTACCTTTTTAGTTTTTAGAAATTTTTTTGAATTACTTAATAGTTGATATCATTTGTACTGTATAATTATTAAACTAAACAATTTAAGGTGAAATATAATTATTAATAATTGGACTGAAATTAGTTTGTTAAGAAACGCCATTATTAACATGTTCAATGACGATCTCATTCGTAGTAAATTATGGGTGTGCAGGAAGCAATTGTTTCTAGACTAGAATTTTAGATGGGCCTAACCTATGGGCCGTGGTGGGTTTTCCCGCCATAAACCTTTTCTTTCTCACCCTGCAAATGCAAAACAACCGCCGGTGAAGACAAGAAGAATCACAATTGAAATTGAAGTGGGTGCCGTAGAGAAATGTTGCAAACCCTAGGAGGCGTAACCCCTCGCTTCGTGAATCGGTCATGGCTCCGAAACCTGACGGTGCGTGCAATGACATTCTCTTCCTCCTCCGATTATGGAGACCAGTCACGTGGTGGCCTTCCTCGCTTCTACTCCGAAATTCTTCCTCCTTTCAAGGTATTCATTTTCTTCTTCTTTCTCTCGGCTTTTTTTATGACTCTTTCATATTACTACAGTCATGTTTACTGCGCGAGTCCTTATCGATTCCACTGTTTGTAATTTCAATTTGTAACCAGTTCCAGTTAGCAACCCCTCGTTTGTCACTATCTTTGTCGGGTGTAATTTATAAGCAGCACTTAGCTTCATGGAGCTAAGGCTTAGGCAAAGTTCATTATTTGTGTTTGGAAAAGGCCATTTTAACGGCTTGCTGACATTTCTTTTTTCAATGTTCCCCTTCTAAACTGTAGTTCTATTCACTGTGCCTTATATAGTTTGATTAATGATAAAATCTTCCGTTCTTTTCAAACAGTTTTGATCACTACGTTTTCGCTCAGCCTTCTTCTTTTCAGCTCAGCGCCTTTTTCTGTTTTCTTTTCTGTTTTGTTTCTGTTTCTTTTCTTATTGTTTATATACTCCTTTTTTGCTCTCTATTTCCGTGAGAGAATAAGAATGCAGTGTTCAAGTGTTCGTTTTTTTTTTCTGTTCATCTTTCTGGTATTTTCTCTCTTTTCTGCTTTACTTCTTGTTTTCTTTTCAGTGAAAGATTATCGCTTGGATACAAAGGAAGCTATTTTTCAAATTACATACCATCTTTTTAATTAAAGATATGTTTATTGTTTTATTTAGTTTTACCTGGGAAAATGCAGGGTAGTGTTATACGCGTGCAAGGTGATGAATTTTGGCATATGACAAAAGTACTGAGGTTAAGCACCAACGATAGGTAATTCTGATTGATGATTGCTCGTTAATTAGATAGGCCATTCCTTGAAGTTTGATATTAATTTCGCTTTCTTTCTTGAATTAAATCTAATTTATTCATACAAATTACGTTAGTTTTTTTTTCCTTATGAGAGAAACCCGATTCATTTTATCTTTTTTTTTTCCTTAAATTTTTATATGATAGTAATTGTAATTTCCGATGTCAATTAGGAAGAGGTATAAAGGCATTAGTAAATCACGGTAGATGAATGTCGAACGTCTTGTCTGCACAAATCTTGTAGGGTAGTGTCTCTTAATAATTTATTAGTACTGAAAAAGGTGGATGAGAACGGAGTTGCTTTGATAGTTTATTTTGAATGATTTATGGAAAATATTTTGCTAGCCTGCATCGTTTATTTAGACACAATTTTCTTTGGTACTAATTCAAGGGATGCAAAGGAAGAGATAGTTCTTGCTCATTTTTTTAGCACTACAGTTACAATCTGATCTGAAGAAGATTTTTGTTGATGATCCTAATTATGCTGTTCAAGGGTACAGCTGTTCAATGGAAAAGGAGGTCTTGTAGAAGGATGCATACAGGACATTGATCGCAGTGGGCTTGATTTTGTTGCATCGAGTGATTTGATATCAATACCTCCACAAAATACACAATTGCACGTGTTTGCTGGTTTTGGCAAGTTCTTGTAGTCTTTTACCAAACTACAACTACTGAATAATTGCTGCATGTTTTGTACTATTTAGTTCTTACAACCAAATTTTCACTCATTGAGAACGATATCTGTCTAGGTACGCTAAAGGGTGGTCGTGCAGACTGGCTTGTAGAAAAGTGCACAGTACGTTTCAGTGATATCTTGAGATTTTATCTGGTTAGACTTACAATGTGTTGTGGTTCTTTTCTTTTATTCATGTTTAAATGCGATAGGAACTTGGAGCCAGTAGTGTAACTCCTCTATTGACTGAACGTTCTCCATCGATATCAGAAAATCGGGTGGACAGATTGGAACGTGTCATTTTAGCAGCATCCAAACAATGTAACTATATTTTTACTTTCATTTGAGATTATACAATTATTATACTCCCGTCGGAATTTTCTTTGATTCATTCTGACTGAAGTGAATTTTAAACTTGGGTCTAAGACGGCACTGTATTTTGCTTTTGTTGGTTAACCTTGCATTTTTGCCTCTTTTGCAGGTCAACGACTGCATGAAATGGTTCTGAAAGATACTATAGAGATTAATGACCTTTTGCACCTTGTGAGCTCTCCATTTCGTACTACCTAGACTGAAATTTATGCATGAATTTCAATTCCTTGAGAAGAATTTTAACCAGTACATTGTGATAACCTCCTTTAATCAGTGATTTGTTTGTAATTCTGGATGTCTATGCTCTTCTTTCTTCGTGCTTTCCTTTTTCCTTCCTGTAAATTCCGAGTTAAACAAGGGATTTGATCCATGTCTTATTTGTTGGCTATTTAATTGATATACATGATTACATAATAGAATTACTGAACTTATTATGCTGATGTCATTAATTAGCTCGGTCTATTTTCTCTCCCTTAGATTGCACAATCAAAGCTAGCTCTTGTTGCGACGGCGAAAGCAACTCCTGTTCTTAGTGCATTGACGTCATTGGAAAAGGAAACCAGTGGCTTAATAATTATTGGACCAGAAGGCGGTTAGTATATGTTTATTGCAGTTCAATTTCACCTTTTTGTTTCACCAAATGTCTAGAAATGATGGGAAGTTCAAATAATTAGATAATAAATTGAGGTTGGCTGTGAGCCTGAGGTGAATTCTCCCTCTCATCATCAGGGTAAAATGACACTGTTAACCATGTGTGCTTGCCTATTAATTGCTGTGTTTTTTTGGAGGAAATGAATATATATACCTGTTTTTTTCTCAATCGAACTGACGCTAGTTTATGTTGCCATGGGGTTCTCCAGATTTCACCGAGAAAGAAACAAATATGATGATGGAAGCAGGTGCTACAGCTGTTAGTCTTGGACCTCATCGTCTTCGAGTTGAAACTGCCACGATATCACTTTTGGCAACTGTGATGTTATGGTCTGACTCGCTGCAAACTTCGGTCAGTTGATTCCTCAGTGTAGGTTGGTCAGGCATGATTATGTTTTAGAAACAGAATATATATTTTGTTTTATTTGTCTTTTAGATTAATTTATGGCAACAGATATAAAGCTGTAAAGATTTTGTAGAACTTTTCCTTCTCTATTTGATAGAATTCACTGTGGCCATCTCTATTCATTAATCCAACTGTGGCAAGGGAATAATTTGAAGACAAATCGGGTAATTCTGCACAAATGTATTTTCTATAATGGATAACACGTGAATTTATTAGTGACTTGACTTGGGGTATAATTAGATCATTTCTCTTGCCACCTTCTGAAATGTCATGTTTTAATTATATCTAAAGATTTTTATCCCATTCTCTCTCGATTTCTCATTTCATCAAGTTTGTGTTTGCTATATTATTTAAATTTAAAGTTAAATGTCCTATTTGGTATTCCGGATCAATACCACTCCTCATTTATGCATCATAGGGCATAATATTGTATGTTTATAAGGTAATTCAACGTAATTATTGACTTTTGCTGTTCTTTCAAACCTCATTGCTCAGCTATCACTTGTGATGTGTGGCCAACAATATTATAACAAAGTAATTCATTTTAATTCATTAATTTTCTTTGTGTGGATATCCTTATTTTTGTCTGAACTTAGCATGTTTTATAGCCGAAAAAGACTAGTCTCTGGAGCGTCATGATTCATCTAAGAGGTTCATTTCTCTTGAAAAAACATGTCTCTTATTATTAATTACCCATTTAAGGTTTTAAAGATAAATATGAAAGAGAAAATAAATATTTAAAAACAAGTATAAAAGATAAAGTTAAAAAGAAACAGCTATTAAAATAGTAAAATATCAATATAAGAATGAAATTGTAGCATTTTAAATTCTCCGTAACTATATTTAGTAATTATTTTAACTTTTCAGTAAATAATATTACAGTGATAATTATCTTAAGTAGTTCTATAATGGATAGTCATATCAATAAATTTACTTAGTTTGCAAGTTTAGCTGTTAATAGATTTGTGTGTTGAACATAAAAGTTATGACATTTAATTTGGTTTTTATGTTTGATTTTAAATATTATATCTTATGAATAAAGTATTCTAAATAGCTGAAGACATGTCAGTGTAGAAGAAAAGAATTTTAATTGAAAAATAACATATTCAGTCTTTTAAGATCATTCCAATCTTTATAAGATAATATTAAAAGTTATATTTAATTGCTCTTTCAACAAAATTTTTTTATAGAGATATTTACATTTACGTCTAATGGCAACAGGGTCATGTATAGATAGTGTATATCCTACCCTGATCTGTAACCAAAAATTTGATCTGTTATTTGGTATGTTATCATCAAACATTAGTTTAAAAAAAACTTAGTTGTTTTCATAATATCGAGATATTTAAAAGAAGGTAATTTATACATTTTAAAATAAAATCTTAAGTAAAATTTAAAAAAAATGTAAAATATAATGTAAATTTAATTAGATATAGATTAAACATGAAAAACTTTTACAAAGAAAATACAAACACTGATATGATCTTCATCTAAACTCTAAAGAATTACTCTTTGTTTAAAAAATCACGTCAACCTAAAATAAAATCACCAAAACCTCTTAAAACTCTCCTTAAAGTGTTCTCTAAAATATAAATAGTCAAATAAACTTACTATAAAAAAAAGTCTACACTAAAAAAAAACTAAGAAACTATAATATATTTATTTCGACTTCCCTTAAAAAAATACAAACACATAACTAAATATATTTATATGTTAATTAAATTTTATTTAATTAACATATAAAACTTATTAAAACCACCATAGTTTTATTAATTTAAATATTAAAAATTTTAAAATCATAAAATAAAAAACAATGTTACTTGTGTATTTCTTAATTTTATTTTCAAACATATACGTCAACTCCTTAGTTTAAAAAATAATAGAAGTAAAAATGATTGTAACTTAAAATATTCTATGATTTATGATTTGTCGAATTAGGTATAAGATTTTCACAACATGACGACATTAGATTTTTCTCTTGGTTTTTTAATGAGTTAGTCCCTACAAAAGCTAGTCCACACGTCTTGGTCTGCCTCATCTCATTATCCATTTGGATAACTCTTAGATTCTTGGTTGCTTAACAAGAGACATTGAAGACAAATAAAAATATCCAATGAGTTCAATTGGGCAAAGCATATTGATGGCACTAACCGTTACACTAAACAAGTATGCTTCATCTAATTTGCAAGCAGTTCATAGAACACAAGCAAAAGCAGCACACACATCCAATCCAACCTTAAGCACCAAATTGGAATTGGGAAGAAGAGGCCTTGTCTTATCCACTCTAATTGCCACCACCCAAATACCTGACTCTAGGACTCAGCTTCTTCAAAGTACACTTTTCTCTTTTCTCTTTACTCTTCTTCTGTTATCACAACTTGTATCAGTCTTGCTAACATCATAATTTTTTTATGAAATTATCACCAGAATATCAGAAGAAATCAGAGGAAAACAAGGAGAAAAATGACAAAGAGGTAAACTTATCACTAGCTGAGTTCCCCCACTCATGCATTTGTCTTTTAGTGTACAATACATGAATATGGTGTGTGTTTAATTTTGTATGACATTGTGTGCAGAGGCTGGATAGTTATTACAAGCGAAATTACAAGGATTACTTCGAACTGATGGAAGGAACACTGAAGAGAAGGGATGGGGGGGAAGTTTCAGATACAGAAAAGGGTATCCTTGATTGGCTTCAAAAAAACAAGTGAAAGGTTTTCTTGTTTTACTTTTCAATGGTTGTTCAGATGACACAGAATTTGCTTTTGTAGACCGTAGCTCTACCTATGGAATTGTACACTAGAGATCCATTTAGGAACCCTGTACACTGTGATTTACTGTGTCCTTGAAATCCTCTGAGTACAACCTTTTCAGGTGATTCAATTAATTAGTTTACTTTGACATTGGTTGGCATCACATTCTTCATTGTCTCCCACAATTCTAGCTTTGTGGGATTTCTTTTGATTTGGTTTTATCTTGTGGGGTATTTGGATATGCTGGCAATTTTGTTCTTGCAAGTTGCGTCACTGAACAGGAGAACCAATTAACTGTAGCATAATAATAAGATAAGCATTTCACTGCATTGCCATTACTTGTTCAAAGCACAAGAAATGTTATTGGCAGGCCAAGGCCTTAAAGTCTTCCCTCAAAAAGAAGTCTGTGACTAAACTACGGAATGATTTGGTAGTATGGTCAAACATTACTTTTAGGTTCACCAATCCAAATTCCACATGCATTCTATGCTTGCAGTTTGTAGTTAAAGCCAGATTTAATTTTAAAACTCTTATCATGAACTTTGCTTCTAAGAATTAATTTCTTTTACCAATGCTTCCAAGTTATAATTTGAAGTCAAATATCTAGCCGGCTTCACCTGTACAAAGGGGTACCTTCCTTCAATGTTTTGTCTGTAGTAACACTGTGAGGGATCAAATTTCAAATTTCATGATCAGTCAAATAGTTATCCAATGGAACAAGTTGGTTAGATGATCTTGTCCTCAAGGTTAATATGAGAGTCCTGTGTCCTATTTGTGAAGGCCAGATTGAACAGTGAAAATTTAGTACCAGTTACCAAAATAAGAGTCTACACTTCACCTTTACTTTCAAGGAAGAAAATAAAATTCCTTTGGTATTTGAAGTGTGGGTTTTGACTAAAAGGTAATTTTTCCTGCTAAACTTTTTCAATGTTGTTCTCTAAATGGGCAAAAAAAAGCTATTACACTTCACTTTTACTGCATAATAAAATAGAATACCAGTAACAGTATACGCTTTGCTTCAAACCATGAAATAGAATTATGCAGTGATGCAATATTCGCAGTTTGTATGTAATTCAAGTCATGGGAGAAAGAAACTAATACAGGTAGAAGACAAAAAAAAAATCTGTGATTTAGCTTAGTTTTATGGGATACATAATTGAATGCTATTAGTGTTTTATAAATCAAAAAGTTAATTGCATATTACATAGAAATTTGTGAGAAATCAGGTATAGTTTCAGACTATACAATAAATTATCATGTCCTTGGCACATAGCTTTCAATCTTCAAGAGTACTGACATTGTCCAGAGAAATGGAAACATCCAAACTAAATCGGCCATCATCAAATAAATATGGGATGAGACAATAAACTTGTTGGAAGCAACGAAGCACCCTCCTTACCCTCTTCCAATGACAGCGGGGTTTGGTTTGGGCGGTGGTTGGAAGAACACAAATGTTTCCCCCCACAACCTTTTTCGTTCTTATCCCTTTATATCTAATGCAACAAGCCAAAAAATATCTTCACTTTTTTTTTAATTATTTTATCTCTCTCTACAATTTCATTTCTCCTGCATGTTTAACTTTTCATTATCAACACTACCATTGTCTAACTTCAAAAAATTACTCTGTTATTTAGTAGTTATTATTTAAAACTGGATAGGTCATATCAGTAGTGTGTGAGCCAAATTACTCTTTAAAAAAATGAGTTGAAAAAAAAAATTACATAGAAAGAAAAGAAAATATTATAATTTTGTGATCCTAGATTGTGTTGGTATCTTCTTTAGCTTTGTTGAAGCTTTTTGGATTCATGCAAGATATTTTGGCCCTTTATTTTAATAAGAACTGATTAGGAATAAGTAAAGGAATAAAAAGTGAAAGGCAGAATTGTGGATGACATAAAGTCCTATATATGACAGTTTCCAAGCAGACAGAGTTGGAGGGAACAAGACCACACAAACCAACATCAAATATCATATTGTAAAAGATGATCCTTCCAAGGGAAAATAAAGTTGACAAATTAAACAAAATGGGGGCATGTTACTTTGGGTCAAGAAGATCACAGGCAGGATCTCCAGAGCTTGAAAGAGATTTTGAGATAGACATGCCAAATATTCCAACATCAACCTTAAAACCCATCCCTCCTCCTAACACTCTTAAAGTCCCTGTCTCTTTTTCATCATTCTTTAATCATGGCTACAATAATTACCAATATAAAGATTCTGCTTAATCAAATGTAAATGAAACCTGATCCTACCTACCTCACAAAAGTATCACGTAACCTAAATCTGAATGATCCTTTTGCTTCATTACTTAAAAAAATGCTTTATCCGGTTGAATTAAACTCGTTTTGGTTTCTTCC